CAAAATAAATGTTTATTATACTAAAACTAAAGCAAATTAAAATTATAATAATTAAAATTATTTTTTAAATTCATATAATTTCTTAAATATTTATCCTAAATATTAATTATCTTATATTAATTTATAGTTTATATTAAGATCTACAACTTTACTTAGAATCTTGAATCAAATTTTTGATCAGATTCGAATCAGGTTCAAAGTTTAAATTAAACTCAAATCAGATTTTTAATTAGATTTGAATTTTCAAACTGGATTTTTGATTAGATTTGAATCTAGTTCAAGCTTGAATCAAATCAGATTTGAACTGAATCAGACTTTTTTTTAGAATTCTAATAAAAGTTAATTATATATTGAATTTATGTGAAAACTAATATAAATTCAACAATAAATCATTTTTAAAAATGATTATATATTGAATTTACATGAAAATTAATATAAATCTAACAATAAATTGTTTTTATAATTTAATTAAAAATGATTATATACTGAATTTGGATAAATATTTATTTTTAATTTAATTATAAAAATGATTTATTACAAAAAATCAGATTTTTGATGGATTTTTGCATTTTTTTATTGAATTTATATATACTAATACTATCTTGATAATATTATCTAATATATTATATTTAATTCATTATATTTAATTATAAAATATATTAATTAATAAAAAGAGTATCAAATAATTTTTTGGAATGAGAACTGTTATTGACTATCAGATTCTATATTAGAAAGTTTTAAAAAATATTAAACAATATTATAAAACATGTTTTTTAACAAAAAATTAGTTATTTAATACTTTTACTTAATAAAATTAGTGTTGTTTAATACAAAATGCATTGAATAACACATTAGTTAACACTTTAATAAATGCATGATTAGTGTTAAATTGCATCAATTTTATCGAGTTAGAATTTTCAAAACTTTTTAATATACAATATTATAATATATTATGACTTATTTTGATTAGATAAAGAGTAAATAGAATGTCTTTAATAAATAAAAATCACCTGATATTTGGCATTCCTCTAATACTAGTTGAAAATATTATTGGAAGTCACTAATTAGATCCACTATATCTTTTAGCTTTATTATTATTATTATATACTTGATATCAGCACATTAATTCATTAGCTAACTATCCATATTATAATACTTATTTATCTAATTATTCGTTTATTTGTAAAATCTCATTTGTAACATCGATAACTATATAAAATGTCTATTTTTATATCCAGAGGCATGTGTACATCAATATACACATGTAAATGATGGTTTAATTAAACTTAACCACTGGCTTTATTAAACCACTAAAAACATAATACATGTATCACTAAATCCTAATTCTTGGCAAATAAAAATTGTTACAGATTCAGGAACGCTGTTTTCCACAATGCTTCATTATATGCTTTGTATGCAGCTAGAACAGTTGCAAAATGACACTATTATATATCAAATGCGAAATTAGTAATATTATTGAATATCATTTATTCGAAATGGAAACTCGTTCAGTGAAGGTTATTAGTCTCATGCCTGTTTCACAATTTTAACTTTGCAATAACTATAATGGCTGAAATACTTGGCATCATTGAAAGAGTTATTTCATTAGGACAACAAATTGCCGATCGCATAGGAGCGTATAATGAAGCTAAAGCAAGTCTCAAGAGATTGGAAAACATTTTGGAATTGCTTAAAGAGGTTGTCGTCACTATCACTAAATCTAACGTTGGTACAGCCAAAATTGTCATTATCAGAGATACACTCGTAGATGCCCAGAAGGTTTACGTGAAGTATGTTGAGAAACTAGATGCAAAAGAGAACATTCATCGTAAGAATTTGGCCACAGTTAAAAAGTTTGTTGGAATATACAAGGCCCCCAGTATCCTAATCGAGATTGAAAATACCATCGTAAACGTTGAGCGCTATCTTAATATCACCAAAAGCTCTATGAGTATCACAAAAAACGTTCAGCCCTCACCCACGTTAACATTCAATTCAACACTTACTTCAACAACCACTTCCACAACCATTTCCACAAACACTTCTAACATTTTAAAAGCGGAATTGAGAGAGGCTCTTACCAACACAATTGACCAATTAGTGACAAGGCTTACAAAGGAATGTCAGGAACTTCAAGAAAAGCTTGATTGTTGTACACTTTCTATTGAACCTTTTTTTGCAGGCTTGGGAAGCGACAATCCCGAGGCTCTTTCATTTTGGAAGGATCGTTTCAGATCTGCTGAGCTCAGCATATCATCTATTGCCCCATACGAGGTATTATGAAAACAATAGACTTGATTAATTTAAGAAATTATTAAAAGTCATAGACGCTGATGTGAAATATTTCGATCTTTGAATATAGTCTATGTACGTATCCTGGGCTCGGTTTGTTCACGAGCTCGAGGTAAACTTTCCGCTAAAGAATATTCCAACTGCAACTAATGAGGCCTATTTAGGAGACATTGATGCCATACGCCAACATGGTAACAGATATTACATCGATCAAACCAGAACGCGTAATCTCAAAGACATTCGACCACTTTGGCTTCCAGCCTTACGCAAAGCATTGGATCCACTACATAGAGGCTACATTAAACCACATGATTACTTCTCTTTCCTTGGTGGGGAATCATTGTCTAAGAAACTAAGGCAAGTCGTTCTCGATAGCTGTGGATACGGCATTTTTGTGGAATGCCAGCGAACAAGTAGTGATATCGCGTTGCCTTCTGAGATAGAGAGTCCTGCCCATGCCGTTGGTTGGATGTCTGTTTGCCAAATTATTTCAGTACCATCACCGGCGGAACTTGGCATATTCATATATGACAAGGATGACGAGGTTATCAAGCCAAATCTTGCCAATCTAGTTAAAAACTTCACCTATCCTAAAAACGACATCTGGGTGTATGTTCGCTATCTCCAAACCGGCCAAATTGAAAAAAAACTACTCTCGGAGAACGTGCGAATGCTTGGTGGGCTCCGTATTGGAATTTCAATCGCTATCTGCTACGCTTTGGAAAATGGTTCATGTACTTGGAGTGACAGCCTTTCAATCGTGGAACTTGAAGCTTGTGCTGGTGGTCGTTACATTGTGACCGCTGGATCGAAAGAAAATACTAATGTGTTTGTAACAAAACCGCCAATCGGCTTTGGTCAGCCCGATGACTCAGAAGAAACCATTCTTCCGGAATTTGATTATTGTCTTTTGGGACCCTCGACAATTTTTGCGCAAGAACCTAAAGTTGGTGAGAAAATTCAGGTGAGCGAGTTTGTTAAATTAAGAAAACATTATTAACAATGGAATTTCTTCTAAAAATGAGAATCAATTATCGAATCTTGAAAATAGATGTTAGATTCGATTAATTTATTAAACCACACAGTTCCAATTAAGCTACACAAATAATTTCGAAACGATTATTCCGATCTATGATCAACAAAATTGATTCTCGAATCAATTTTCGATTTTTTCGATTATATTAGTTTCGATTCCTAACTTTAATACTTTTTGGTGATGTCGTATTCATCTATAGATCAAGGCGGAGGAGTACTGGTATGATTACAAAGTTACTGCAGTCAATGGAGAAAATGTAGAATATGTTGATTGGTATTCGACTTCTGACACAAACGATAATATTTTGACTGAAGATGATGAAGATGATTCAATAGGTTTCTCATATCAATTTGAAGATTTGAAAAAAGGTAACAGTAAAAGTTGGTGTCCGTGGACGCGTGGAGTGTCGAACTCGGATATCAGGCCTTACCGCTGCCTCCATGTTGGTGATCTTGTTGAGGCACCTGTCGTATACCCAGACTATCGCTTCCATTACTATGGCCTCGAAGAATCACAGCTTTACCTCCCAGCTCGCATTATTGATGTTCAGGGTGATCAATATCTGGTCAAGTTTAGCCCCGCTGTCATTGCTTACAAATGGTGGCCTGGTCCAAATGACAAAGAATTTCCACGTGAACCAAATGCCAATGAGACTGTTAAGAATCCATTTGTTGGCGTACAGGTTATGGTGAGCATGGATCGGGTTCGCCCTTATGTTGGAGCTGGTCCACATCCTGTTTTGGGTACACAATCGATAAGACCACAGAGCTATTCAGCGTTTCAGGGCGCTCAATTCACAGACCAACAACGGATTGACGAAAATATCCTCTGGAAACAGTAAATATATGTTTTTATATTCATTGTAAATGTTAAGCCGACATGTAACAATAGTTTGTATTTGTTTCCTTTCTATTCCCAATATCACTATCATTATTATCAAAGAAACGTATGATTGTATATTACAGTTGTAAAATAAAATTGAAACTTTCCCTGTTTCCCGATCTAATGAATGAAATAAACGTTCTTTGTTTGTGAACTTAATTAAAAAAAAAAAGAATAAAGCATGCAATGATAAAACACCGACCCCTTAGGAAAAATCAATTTGCATTGTGCAGAACAGATCAATAAAGGAGTGATGGTCAAGTCGCTCTTTTGATGAACAGATTAGGAGACTCAAAAACAGATGTTATAAATTTGACCTATTACGAATCATGAAAACCAACGGTCCATATTGAACATCAACACCATCAAATTATATCAAAATTTAAATTGAACAAAAATCCCGTATCAAAATCCATTTAATAATATAATAATTTCCAATAATTCTAATCAAATATGATATTCAAGTTGAAAAAATACTAATTTACTGCAAAACTATACGAAATGTTGGCATTATTGTGTGCCTGTGTGAATACCCACGATTTTTTCAAAGTTATTGCCCATGTGACTTTCAGTCAATTGCATACAAACTTATGTTCCTTGTAGTGGGTTTTTTGACAATCCCTCCCACAATATACCACTCTTCGACATCTCGCACAACGCTTATTATCCTCATCCACCTTTCCACACTGAGCACAAATAATCAACGCAAGGAGCTCTCTTGTTTTCTGCAATGCCATCCTCAAAATTCTCTGCTCCCCAATACTGACGTGTGCCGCTGCCCATACGTTATCACTTTGTTTATATATATTAGAAGAAATTTTTGCTTCGAGGTCTTCAAGAGGGGTGCCAAACTTAGCCAATAGACCCTCAAATGCTTCGATCAAAGCCTTTAAAATCTCAGCCTCGTTACGAGCACAGACTATATTTTTGGCTCCACGGTTAACGTTCATTGTAGAAATTTCTGAGGATAATAAGCGCTGAATCCGTAAATAGCGAAGCACATCCAATGGAAGGGGATCAGAGAGTTTGAGAGAGAAGGTGGCATTGACTTGTAAACCAGCCGATTCAAGCAGGGCGATTTTTTGATCATACAAGGGTGCTCCATGATGTGTAGTAAGAACAAGATCGTAGGAGTCATATGGATTGTTAAGGAGAATGAAACCATAGAGACGAAGGAGTCGGTTATTGGGAACAGGACCATAGTTGATGAAGACCTTTTAAAAGGTGAGCTGAAGATTAAAATATAATTAGAAAGATTTTTAAGCATGTTAAAAGTAAATAAATATGTAACCTGTTCGCCTATTGTGTAGTCTTTTCCTGCCAATACCTGTAAGCTATCCGATCGAGGATTGTAAATATGGCAAAGTTGAACGTCAGGGGAATGATTCAGCATGTCAGCAAAAGGTGCGATGCATCGGAATTGCTTGTCAGGTAATTGGAAATCCATACCACGACTCCAAATTGAACAAAGGGCCCACATATACTAGAAGACATGTAAACATAAAATTTAAAATACACTTATGACGTATTAAATAGATGGCCTTATAAAGAAACTCACATCATTTTGTGTAAACTTTTCCAAAGGAAAAAGATCCGGATGTTTAGAAAACAAGTTATTGAGGAGATGAAAATAATCGTCTTTGATTTGCTGTTTCAATTGTTGAGTAAGATGATAAAGTGACGAGCCGGAGCAGACTTCAAGTTCTTCATCGCTAAAAAACACACTCATTGTATAGCTAGTTGGTAATAATTTTATATGCGCTCCTCTTCCCTCGTACTCTTCTTGGCGTGATTTGATAAAAAGAAGAAACACCGCTAATATATCCTCTACTGATAAAGATGGTTTTACGGAGCGTATGGTGGGACCAAGAACGGAGTCATCAAATGCTGCGTCTACTGACCAAAGAAAGGATCCCGGTATTGTAAGGACTACATCGTTAAACTTAAGAGGTCGAAGCGTTTTAACACCTCGACCAGTATCAGGAAAGTTCTCTAGTTGCAGCCAACCGAGGCCTTCAGCTCCACCCTTCTCAAGCCATTCTTGTAGTTTCATTGTCACCACTCAGATGTCTTGGCGATTGTTCGACATCCGATGTGATCACAAAAGCCCAGATTAGAAGAATTTAAACATTGGGGAAAAAGTCAAATCTGCATTGTTAGTTACACAAGTTAATCAAACGTCTATGATTTTCCCAATGAGTGCAGCGCCACGTACACATTCGTGCGATCTAGAGTTCAGATGACATGTGCTTTTCCCATATAAAGCACTGTAGTTGTTTGTAACAAAACTCTAGATAACTCTCAAGATAAATAAATAATATACAAATATCATTTATTTATATAATATTAATAATATTATATAATAACATTTATATATTATTATTTATACAATATTATTTATATAATATCATTTATACAATATCATTTATACAATATCATTTATACAATATCATTTATAAAATATCATTTATATAGTATCATTTATATAATATTATTAAGTAAAATAATTTATTAATCATTTCAAAAAAATTGAATCAGTAAATACAATTAATTGAGCCAAAAATTATATATATTGTTATTATATTTTATGAATTATTGAAAAAGCTGAAAGAATTTAATAATATGTCATATCAAACACATTTTTCATTATTTTAAGCTCTTGAAATCTAGAAATTTCTGTCAACTGTTGCTCAAGAGTTTGAACAGCTCAACTTTCACATTGTTTATTTAAAAGTTCTTTGGTATAATTCAACATATACTTAAACAAACCAAGATCTAGCATATACATTCGATCAGGAATAATTGCTTGATAAATATCAAAGTTTTTAATAATTAATAAGTATTATAAATAACAAATTTTATAATACAATAACAAAATTTTAATTGATATCTTATTTTTCAAAATATATTATATTTGATGTGAATCAAATTCTTATGTATCTGATCATTTTTAATTTCTTGTTTTATATTTTGTGAAATTCTAAGTGATAAGTCTGTTAATTCTGTATTATTTAAATCAATTTTTGAGATTAAGCAAGAATTACAAGATTTCTTTGAAGTTGAAGGTTAATAAATATTTGTAAATTTATTAACTTCAGCCAAATTAGCCAAATTATTGAAATCTGTAAAATAAACAAGATTACATTGTGACACACTACAAATTGAAGTTCTGAATAATTTAGTATTGATTTGAGAAGAATTGTTAGACTTTGTTAAAAATGATTTATTGTAATTATCTAAAACTTTCTGAATTTTTGGTTTTAGAATCTTTAGCTTTTAGAATAGAAAGATATCTGATTAATATCTTTGATTTTGGTTTATTTCTTTGAAAGTTAGGAATATTGCTGAGAGATAAGAATATTGGATGTCCAGAAGATTTTTTCATATGGTTCAAAATTATTGTATCTGAATAAATGATAATTGAAAGCAATCATTGTTCAATAGTAAGTTTTAATTCTTCTCATCTTCACCAATTGTAGCGTTACGACTGGAAATTTCCATAATTTTTATAATTTACATAACTTCTATAATTTTCATAATTTTGATAATTATCACAATTACTGTAATTACTATTATTTACAACAATTACTATAATTACCACAACTTATATAATATTTATTATTTATTAACTTATATAAATATAACATTTATTAGTGAAAAATATTTATTATAAATAAAGTGCAATTGAAGCTTTGAAAAAACTATCAATTGATCAATATAAAAATCTATCTAGTTAATAAACTGTCCTTGTTTATTGTTAATGAAATTTGTACATTAATTAATTAAATAATAACTTATTAAAATACTTGTATTTATTATGCACTATTAGACATCCATTAAAGTTGCTATAGAATATCAGTACTGTATTGCTATAAGATTATCACACACTAAGTAGATATAACATCCATTAGTAATAGTGAGAGCCTATCTAACTTATAAAAGAAAATGCATTGTGTGATGATCCTGAAATATATTTATTACAAAGAGATTGAGTAATTGTAAAAATTACTGCTTTTAGATATTGGTTGAACACCTAAATTATAATAACACCTACCAGAAGCCTAATCATGATAGCAGTTATATTGTTCTTCAAATAAATAATGTTCGATACTATTTCTAATTTCTCTTTTTTCTTTATAATCTAGTACTAAGTTTTGATTAATATTTTTAATTACTAATAGAGATTTAATTACCTAAATTATAACTAGTAGTAAAGAATATACTCATTATTCTGAAATTTAGTAATTGAAATTCTTTGAATTTCAAATATCAAATATTTGCATTATTTAATAATTTCTTTTCAACTTTTGTTGATGAAGATAATAATGAATCATCTAGCTTAGAGAATTTATTAAAGAATTGAATAATAACATTACTGACTAAATTTGATAATTGATATTTGGTAGTGATTTTTACAAATTCATAGTAAGCTTCATTAAATTAAATTACTATTTGTGAATGGTACAAATTATTATAGGCATTATCTAATAATACTTTTTCATAGTCTTCTTTATTAATTTGAATTTTTTAAATTCTAATTCATGTTAAGATTCTATTTTCATCAAAAGAAAACTGTCTATTAATTCGATGAAAGAAGTTTCTATTTCTATTAGAGCAAAATTACTTGAAATTGATATTAATTAAATATTAGAAGTATTTTCTTTACTCTAAATAAAAGTTATTATTAAGTAATTATTTGCTAATATTCTTAATCAAAAATATTGAATTATATTTACTATAGAATTATCTAATAAATATTCAATATTATGTCTGATATGTGATATATTCCAAAGCTTATTATCTGAATAAAATGTTTATTGAGAAATAATTATTGGTAAAGATATCACATTACAAAGTCAAGAATGCTTTTGAGAGATATATTGTGATAATTCATTTGATTTTGAAAAATTTCTGTCACAGTATTCACATTATAAACACATGTTAATTTTTATTTAGAATCAATAATAAGTAATTAAAGATATTATTACTAGTGATCAGTATCTAAATAACAATAATAATAGCTTATTGCAAGATATTATAATATTATTAAGATTAATTAGATAAGCTTTATTTATAAGTGATTTGTATTAATTAAAAAAATACCTTTTTTAATTTAATAATATTTAAACTGATTGATAAACTTATAATTATCTCTGATGATTGACTGAAATTCTCTCAAAATTATATGAGGTACCTCTTCTGATTTAAACTAATTAATAAACTTATAATTATTCCTAATAATTAATTGAAACTCCTTCAAAATCACCTAATAGATACTGTTCCCTAACTTATTTAAATTTCAATTAATTAATCATTGAGTAATAGATTTTATTATATTATTATGATATTATTGCTAAAAATATTATTAACTTTCAAGTAATCAAAATAATATTTTTATTAGAATTTTACAATAATATTAAGATAAGTTACTTATTTAATGTTTTATACTTTAATAATTTTTAATACATTATTATGATATTATTACTAATAATCATATTTTTACTTTTAAGAGATTGATTAAGCAAACAATAAATTAATAAGAATAATCTGACAAATATAAATATTGTGATGATAAGAAATATTTGTTATTAGATTCAAAATGAAAGGTAATACTAATACAATAACTACTATAACTATTGCAGGTACTTAAACACAATCTCTTGCATCAAAATCGAATACATTATCTTCCATATTGTTACCATATTTTATGAGTCCTTGGGAGAGCAGGTGAGTGCTTAATAACGTTATAATAAGTTACTTGGCCAG